ACATTTTTTATTTCCCAGTGTGGAGGCAAATGGATTTATTCCCACTGCAGAAAGAGTCAGATAAATGTAGAAATGTAACTGCTGGTTTCTAATACTCCGATTTTTGCAAGCGTGTTAGGCAATGCTGTTGAATTGAACCACATTTCTTTCTCTGCAACATATGCACATAATTGCAGCACTGAATATTTGGATTATATGTCTTCAATGACTATTACACTTGTGGAAAGCTTTTACTCAAATTTGGTTTGCTCTCTTTTGCACAATGCATTGACTTAATGAGATGCCCTTGACTTTACCCCCCAGTAAATGTGCCCCTTTGTAGCCAATACCTCCGCGACCCCTTGAAAGCCAGACTTTCTTCCAGTCTGACGCGTTTCAACCTTAGGCTGCGATCCTATCCTCGTTTCCCCACACATAAACCCCGTCTCCAGCCACTGGAAGGAAATCAGTCGCCAGATACTCATAGGATGGGTTCAGCCAGACCAGAATTCAAGCTGCCAAGGGAACTGGGTTTCAGATGTAAAGGCAATTCGAATTTTAATGGGAGCAAATATCCCAAACCCGATGCTCCCTCTCTCTCTTGGCAAGAAAGAACCTGGAAGGGGAGATAAAAATGACTTTGGTAGCCATTTGTCACCTCTCTTGGCAAAGAGAGGCTTTCTCAGAAAATGCTTCATGGAAAGCCGCTTCTTTGGGAATTTAATAATTTATCTAGCGGGGAAACGGGCTTGGCACGCAGTCACATTCTTGTCAACTGACCTCTTGAACATTAAATAAGGCTGCATTAAATTAATGTGGTTGAAGATGTTCAAACCGAGGTCTACGGTGGTGGTATCTTTACACTCAGCCTGCTTTTGGAGTCCCATCACAGCTTTTGTATATTTTTTCCTTCCTGCCTCCACTTCACCTCCCCTCCAAACAATTCCTCCACCTCTCTTTCTCTCTCTCTCTCTGTTTCCCCTCAATTTGCCCATGTAGACATATAAAGCCTGGTTTAATTAGCATACAAAGTAACATCCCCTTGATTAACAATGCGATACCTTTGGGTTCTTCCTGGAAATAGGGAATAAATCATGCTTCTTCAGCTGGAGGAGAAAGAAAGAAAGAAAGAATCCATCCTTCCATCTAGATGCAGGCTGCTGAGGTCTTGTGATTTAGGTTGTTGTGAGTTTTCCGGGCTGTATGACCATGTTCCAGAAGCATTCTCTCCTGAAGTTTCGCCTGCATCTATGGCAGGCATCCTCAGAGGTTGTGAAGTCTGAGACCTCTCAACCTCTGAGGAGGCCTGCCATAGATGCAGGTGAAACATCAGGAGAGAATGCTTCCGGAACATGGCCATACAGGTCGGAAAACTCACAACAACCCAGTGATTCCAAGCTTTCTACAATACTCTTATGGTTTATTTATCCCCGTCCAGTTTTTATTTATAATTTTAACTTTTTTAAAAAGTCCAGGTTCATAAAACAGCGCAAACGACTCTATTAATGTAGTTATGATATTTGTCTTGGACCAATAAAGGGATTTTTTTTAAATCAACATTTTCCACTAAGGCAACTTACTGGGAAGTTTTAAACTCCAGTTAAGGGGGAAAGATTTCCATCGGGTCCAAATCTTTGGCACAGTTGTGGTTTGGGCTGGTCCTTTGCCCTTATTGAGCATACACCCCCCTCCCCCCCCTTCTTCCCTCTCCAAGCAGGGCTTGTTGTGTTGGCAGGGGCCGAATGAAAGAGCAGTGATTTCTCATCCTGTGCCCCTGCATTAATAGTCTTAAGCAACGCTATAAAGCCCTGGTTAATGTCCGAGACACATTGTTAAGTGTTTAAAATGTGGCCGCTGCACACAATGCACGCCAAAGTAGTTTAGTTGCTCCAGAATTGACCATTATCTTTTATAGTTAAGAATCAAGTGCACATTATTAGTTTTACTTCAGTGGCTTTGACGAGGCGAGTTGAAGTTGGCTGGGCTTGGCCTCGTTAGCGATTCAAGCAAGAGCCTCGGAGCTCCTCCTAAACCGATCCCAAGCCAACTCCAGGCTTCTCCCTCTCCCTCTCCTCCTTCTTCATCTTCTTACCATTGACCTCACCAGGCTTTGGATCAGACCCGGAGTGCCTTGACCATCAAAGCCAGGCGCGTTGCCTCTATAAACGCAACAATAAAAGGGAGCCTCATTCAGGGAGGAATGGCCGCTCTCTGCTTGCCTTGCGCATTGGCTCCAAGGCACCGAGGGGGCTCATAAAAACCACACACACACACACACCCCCCCACAGCAGAGGTATTTATTTTGAGTCGCAAACGACTCCGAGGAAAGAAGGGTTTTAAACCTGTTTTTTGAGCCCAGCTCCCTGGATCCACCTCTTTCTCTCCTCAAGTTTTCTTCTGAACCTTAAGACTCTTGGGTCGGAGCAAAGGTCCAACTGAGCAATTTTCCTGCATCTCAGCACAATGTGGTTAGAAAGTGGACAAGTAGGGGTCGACTCTATATGCTTACGTGGCTTTTATGGTTGGTCACATTAATTTCTAAGATTTTTTTAAAGGGCAAGAAAGAATCAGGGCCCTTCCACACAGCCACATAACCCAGAATATCAAGGCACAATATCTGCTTTGAATTGGGTTATCCAAGTCCACACTGCCATATATTCCAGTTCAAAGCAGATAATGTGGGGTTTTATTCAGCTGTGTGGAAAGGGCCTCTGGTGGTTTTGCTAGTTCTTTCCTCTGCAATACAGCCTTTGTTCTTAACTGACAGCCTCCCTTTCAAGTAGTAACCACAACTGGCCATTCTTAGCGTCCAAAATCACACAACATCTGACGCCTTTAGGATATTTAAGCACTGAGTGACGGTCCACAATATCAATTCATGTTTGTGTGCATGTTAATGTGGGGAATATAGGGCCATAGCAAGGGATGGCAGACCTCTGTGCATGTGCATTCGTGTATATATATTTCTAGGTTATCTATATATCTCATTTATTGCATTCATTCTAGCCTCTGTATGCCTCGCTTTCCAGTTCTCCCTCTGCTTTGTTTTAAAGGCCTTTCCAGAAGGATCTATAAATTCGCATTTTATTTAGCCTGGGGGCGATTTCGTAGACTTTTAGAGCGACCTTCTTGCCTCAGTTTCTTGCCTCAGCCCAAGAATATTTATTTATTTAAACGGACATACATTTGTAAGTGTTTGTTGCATACAGTGCAATATTTTCCAGCTATTCCTTTTCCTTAATAATTTCCCAGATAATATCACAGTCTTCTATTTGAATAGTACATACAAAGGCATCAAAGACTCTAAATTAGTATCGCTTCCTCCAAGACTATCGTCCAGATGGTTGTTCTTGTAGCTGCTGCTAATGCTTTTCAATAATGTTTTAAAAATTGGTCTCTCGTTTCGAGTTGTCTTGCTAAATATAAAAATATCCCACCGAAGAGACTTTGGGCTCTATCTGATTCTTGTTCAGGCAGGCCGCTGGGGCGAGGGGCCCCTTTTGTGGGCGGGGACCCCAATTTCCTTATATTTAAATCTGTATTTATCACGCTAAGCCTACTGATAATAGGGTTTTCTATGTCTTCGCCCATAGAAGGGCTCCTTATATGGTATTCATTTTCGTGGAAGCGATATGGGCCTCGAAGGAATCTGATAAGAGCTTGTTCTCCACACATTAACACATTGTAAGGTAAGTCGAGCTGAGGAAGTACACACAGTGTTACCAGAGTGGGGAGAGAGGAAAAGAGAAACATTTCCACAGGCTGCTGAAACTTGATTTCCATCTGGTTGGATCTAATGTTAAATTCAGTTAGACGCCCCAAAGGTTGAACCAATCTTGGGATAGGAATCTTGGCTGGCAGTGGAGGGAGTGAGGAGGCAATAGGCGGGGAGTTTGTGGGCCTGTTTATGTCTAGGGTGGGGTGGGCCTTTCCGTAAAGATTTTATGGAGGCCATGCCAAGTTGCAGCAACTCCTGCCAGTCTTCTCAACTTCCGACAGCCGGAGAGCTGCTCTGTTTTAATATCCCTGGGATGGAGGTGTGTGTCTGTTGGGGAAACCCCCCAAATTTTCCCCCTTGATGTCTTCTGCACACCTCAAAAGACCAGGGTGTATTTAAAGCAGGAGGGGAATGTTCTCTTCAAAAGCAAACAAAAGCAAAAATAAAAAAACAAGGAGCTACACCAGGAATGGGCAAACTTGGACCCTCCAGGAGCTTTGGACTTCAACTCCCACCATTCCTAACAGCCTCAGGCCCCTTCCTTTCCCCCCTCAGCCGCTTAAGCGGAAAGGAAAGGGCCTGAGGCTGTTAGGAATGGTGGGAGTTGAAGTCCAAAGCTCCTGGAAGGCCCAAGTTTGCCCATTCCTAGTGTAGACCCATGCAATCAAACTACGCAGTTCAAAAAAGGAGGGAAGCGGGAGCTTTGATTCCTTCCATCTCTCTGCATCTCTCCTCTTTGTTTCATTGCTATCACTTCTGCCGAAATTGCATATCGTCTAGCAGTTTTTTTAAAATTAAAAATATTTAATAGATGAGAAGAGCTTGCCAATAATTTGGAAGGGGTCAAATAAAAATATTTTAAAAACTGCAGATTCCCACATCCCTTCCATCCAATAGCTGGAGAAAAAAAACAAGGACACCCTAGGTCGATTCTCCTTTTTCTATCCTCCATTATTATGTTATTTATTTATGTTTATTTTATTGATCGTATCAGAAGCGAACCGAGGGTATCCTTGTAATGTATTTCAAAAACACAAAGTTTTTAGACCAAAAGTCCTTTGACTTTTGGCCACTTAGAGTGACTCTGGTGTTGCTATAAGAAGGTCCTCCATTGTGCATGTGGCAGGGTTCAGACTGCATTGCAATAGCTGGTCTGTGGTTTGCTCTTCTCCACACTCGTATGTCTATTATTGTGTAATAGATTCCAATTCTCGCTTTGAGCTAAATAGATATTGCAGATTTAGCTCACTTCCTGATTGATTCGGGAGCACATAGACGGTTTATCTGGGGTGGGGGTGGGGGGGTTATGAGGGCAGCCGTCCCTCCTAAAACTGGAATCCCAGCGATTTCCCTGGAAGAAATCCCCTTTCCCGCCTTGCAGGGGAAGCCTTGGCCCTACTCTGATGGAACTGGTATGCTAAACCAGCCCCAGGATTGAGGATGATCTTCATTACAGTAGCTGACATCTTGAGGAGCCTGTGGTGGACTTTATGATGTCCGTAAACCTTGGCTGCTGGGGAGAAGGTCAGGTTTGGTTTGGAACTTCCCAGTACCCCATCAGGCATAATCACCACTCCATCATCCTCCTAACAGGAAAGCAGGGAGGCATGGAAGTCTCCTGCCGCCTCGCCCGTCAATACTGGGGCTTGGTTGCATTATTAATCTCATCTCTCTGCAAAGAGATGGCGAAAGAGCTGCTGTTGGGGCTGCTGGGATATGTTGCGGCTGGGAGGAGCCGAAGGAGGAACGGAGATGTTAAAAGGGTCGCTTACAGATCCCTTGATAAGTCCCAACACATCATAATAACCCTACTGATCCTTTACCGTTTTCTATTAGAACATCTATATAAATAAAAATGTAATGTTCGTTTGTGAGATTGATATAACTCAAAAACCACTGGATGAATTGACACCAAATTTGGACACAATACACCTCTCAGGCCAACAAATGACCATCACTCATAAAAACACTGAAAAACACAGTGGAAGAGACTTAAAAGCCAAAAAATAAATAATAAATTACAATGCATGTGCAAAACCACATATATATACACACATATATATATACACATTTATACACACACAAAACACATATACACAGACTGGGCCAAAGCAACGCGTGGCAGGGATGGCTAGTATTATCATATTAGCACATATGCTACATTATATTTAGTATTTAGGGGGGGAAACCAGGCAAGTGGGTTGCTGTGAGTTTTCCGAGCTGTATGGCTTGTGAGGTCCCAACATGAGGATGTCTGCCATAGATGTAGGCGAGACGTCAGGAGAGAATGCTTCTGGAACATGGCCAGACAGCCCGGAAAACTCACAGCAACCCAGTGATTCCGGCCATAGAAGTCTTCTACAACCAGGCAAATGGTTTTCTATTGTTTTTCTCCCTCCCAGGCTCCCCACCCCATATGCATAACCCCCCACCCTCGTTTGAAACATTGATTTTACTCTCTCTCACACGCATATAAATATATAAATCTACCTATCTATCTATATATGTATCTCAAGGAAATTCAGAAGTGGACCGGAGGAGCCGCTGAGTGCCTACGAAACCAAACGGGGAGGGGTTGTGAGCCAGGGCCGGGTTTCCATTGGCTGCGGGCCCTTGCCGAGGCGCGGGGGTATCTCGAATCCTATCCAGCATGTTTTGCACAAGAAATGTCAGCCAGAAAGGGCTATCTGCTCTCCTCGCCCAATTATCCCGCGGCCATGGCGTGCTCCTCGGAGAGCCCCGTTGCCAGCTCCTTCCTGGTGGACTCCTTGATCAGCTCGGCTTCGGGCAGAAGGGACGGCGGAGGAGGAGGAGGAGGAGGAGGCGGTGGAGAAGAAGGAGGAGGAGGAGGCGGTGATGGAGGAGGCGGAGGCGGCGGCGGGGGCAACGGCGGCTACTATCCCAACAACAGCGGCGTCTACCTGCCTCAGGGCTCCGAGCTGCCCTACGGCTTGCAGACCTACGGCCTTTTCCCGATCCTGAACAAGCGCCAAGAAGGTCCTCCCCCCAGCATGGCCCCAGCATCCCACCAGTATATGCCGGGCATGGACGCCTGGCACGACGGCCCCAGGTCCTGCCGCCTGGAAGAGCCCCAAAGTCCGCAGGCCACCTCTTGCGCCTTCGCACCCAGCATCAAGGAGGAGAGCTCCTACTGCCTCTACGACTCGGACAAGGGCCCCAAGGAAGCGGCGGCCACTGACCTGACCACCTTCCCGAGGCTCAACTCAGAGGTCTGCGCCATGAACAACGTGGGCGCCGCTGGGGTGCCCGTGCCAGGCTACTTCCGCCTGTCCCAAGCCTATGGCTCCGCCAAGAGCACCAACAGCACTTCCTCCTCCTCCTCTTCCTCATCCACCTGCAGCAGCGGCTACAACAGCAACCACCACCACCACCCGCACCAGCACCATCGCCAAATGGTTGCCGAGTCCCCGTTCGCCCCGCAGCCCCCAGGGCGCTTTGAGAGCCCTCCGGTATTGCCTCCTTCGCTGTCAGTCCCGGATCAAGGCAGAAAAGAAGGCGAAGAGCCCTCCCCGCCCAGCACTTTGGCTTGCGTTTCCCAAAGTGGGGAGGAAGAAGGCTCCTCGGCTGCAGAAGAACTCTCCCCGGCGCCCTCCGAGAGCAACAAGCCCTCCCCAGAGAAAGGGGTCTTAGGTGAGCGAGAGAGAACCCATGCCCGAAACGCCACCCCTCCCAAGAGATAGGAAAGTGAAAGTAGCAGAGACCCCACAACTAAAGCATCCAATTTGCAGAGTGCGTGGCTTCAGTTGACCCACTCAAGCCCCTATTTATATTTGGGCACTAAGAGGTACAAGAAAGGGCATTATTGTGTTGTGAAGGCTTTCATGACCGGAATCACTGGGTTGCTGTGAGTTTTCCGGGCTGTATAGCCCGGAGAAGGTATTGTTATTTTTCAGTTGCTGTGGTTGCTCTTGAAGGCCACGCTCTGGAGTTTCTAACCCAGTCAAAGGCTGGAAGCACAAAGGCAGAGTTGTAAAAAGATGGAGAAGGAAAGAGGGGTGAGAGGACAGTGATGGAGAAGTGCCCGAAGAGATAACAGAGATGTTTGTAGAGCGTCCAAAGTAAGCATGAGGCCAGCGCCAATAAATAAACCCATTAACAGGCTAAGTTCTAGTTTACGATCCTGGATGGCTTAAAAAGGCAGAGGAGGGAGGGAGCTGGGTTGAAATTCTCCTTCTGTGAATGACTGATCAAATTGACGTTCCTCGCAGCTTAACCAGGCGGGTGTAACTTAAGGGTCATGGGAAGGAAGGAAAGAACCAGGTGCTAAAGGAACGACAGGGTCCCGTTCAGGATCCCATTCCTTCCATGAGCCGCTCCAGAGCTATTGCCTCCTCGCAGTTCCAAAAGGGATCTGGTGGAAGATTGTGTGTGTCCACGCACATAAGGAAATTTTCCCCGCCTTACACAATATTTTTATTTTATAGTGCTGCAAATATTGCCTTATCCCATCTTCCTCCCTCCCCTCACCAGTCATAGACTTTACAAACTACTTAATTGACACCCTCTTACTAATAAATCATCACCTATTGTCTTAATTTCATTAATAATAGTTATATAGTCATTTATTTAAAATCTCAGTCGATCTGAGGGTGGTTTAAATTTGTTTACTTTCTCACATATAGCTGATAAAGGGTTTCCCTATAACCTCGAACAAAGTCTCTTTTATTTCTCCTTTCTCTAATCTTACTTCCATTATTAATTCTTCACCTACAGCTATGGCCCATAGATATCCCTCTGCCTGCCTTGCTTATGTATAGTACACGGCAAAGTCTGTAAATATGCATTTCAATTTGGGCTTTTAAAAATATTTTTCCTTTGCGTCTGTGTGTGCATCATTAAATTGCCACATTCCTTAATGTCACCAATACGCAGAGGGGGAAAACAGACACACTGAGCTTAATTCTATAGATGTTGATTTGACCCCTTTGCTTGAAACGGGTTTGCCTTCCAAGTTAAGTCGTGTTTACGGAACTGCAGTCCCAGCTGTGACTCACATCTGGGCAGAAACACTTACTTAATGGAGAGACCAATTCTAGATATGGTATTTCACTTATTATTACCAATAATAATAATATTTTTATTTTTATTATTAATTTATTTAGTATTAATAATTTATTTGGTATCTTCTATATAAATAAAAATATATATTTCGTTTGTGGGATTAACATAACTCAGAAACCACTGGACGAATTGACACCAAATTTGGATACAATACACCTATCACGACAGCGAGTGACCATTACTCATAAAAACACTGAAAAACACAGGAGATGGGATTTAAAAAGCCAAAAAGCCAAAAATACATTACAACACATGTGCAAAACTGCATATATACACATATACACACATATACACAGACTGGGCCACAGCAACACATGGCAGGGGATGGCTAGTTAATAGTAAACTGTTTATTATTATTATTATTATTATTATTATTATTATTATTATTATTATTATTATTATTATTTATTATTAATAATTTATTTAGTATTAATAATGCAATTGTTTATTATTTAATTATTTCATTATTTATTATTAATAATTTAGTATAAATAACACCGTGTTATTTGTTTATTATTATTATTATTATTATTATTATTATTCACAAGCCACCCGGCTTTTTGACTTGAAACAAGCGTTTCAAGACTACAAGGCCAGGTTGGAAGCATTTGGGGCCGCCACTGTCAAAGGCACGGATGTGTATTGGTGTCAACTGCAAAAGCAGGCCTCCTTTTCAGACGAGCAGGAGGAAACCAAAGTCAGTAGTATGTTCATAACCTTTCCTTGCCTTTGGAGGGCACAGCTGAAGAGAGCAATCTTCACAGGAGGACTTCTGGCGCCCAGAGACGCCCTTATCGGATACTCCGCACAATAGTCGCCCATTCGGGAGTCCTGCGTGCCCTTCTGTTCCGCTGGTAACGACCTTTTCCTTCCTTTCCCAAAACTAGGCAGCTCCAAAGGGGAGCAGGCAGCCAACTGGCTGACGGCGAAGAGTGGCCGCAAGAAGCGCTGCCCTTACACCAAGCACCAGACCCTGGAGCTGGAGAAGGAGTTCCTCTTCAACATGTACCTGACTCGCGAGCGTCGCCTAGAGATCAGCCGCTCCGTCCACCTCACGGACAGACAGGTCAAAATCTGGTTTCAGAATCGCCGGATGAAACTCAAGAAAATGAACCGAGAGAACCGGATTCGGGAGCTCACAGCCAACTTCAATTTCTCGTGATGGACCTTCGGAGGCAGGCAGGCACGCCTGGATGGCCTGAGCCCCAGGACCATGTCCCGCCCCAAACCTTCCCCGGGCAGGCTCGAAAGCTGCTAGCACCCCATGGATTTGAACCTCGCGATCACATTCCCAGCCTCTCCATTGCCTGCTCGTGACAGATTATGATGATTATTCTTATTTGGTCGGGATAAAGCCATAAAACGGTGCGCGCACACACCCAACAGGCCATTTCCCCCGCGCCTCCTGCCCTCCTCCTTCGCTCGGATATTTTCAGATGTCCATTGGTCGTTCAGAAAAGTGAGCCAAGCTTATATGGTGGCATAGTCCACCGCCTTCTGTGTTGTGTCTCACATACATACTGGTCGGGCGGTATCACAATAGACTGCGTCTTTTCTTCCGCCATTTCGATGTGGCCACAGTCCATGCCTAATAGGGATGCTTCTGGTTTGAGTTTTTGCTTCCCTGCGTCTCCTCTTTGGTGCAAAAATATCCAGAAGCTGCGCAAAGCAAACAAACAAACAGCCTGGTTGTCACTTGGGGTCAAGACTGTGTGTGTCCTTTGTCTATGTGTTTGTCTCACCTCTCTTAAAATGAATATAACAGTTTTCAGGGTGTTGTGGCCGGAATCACTGGGTTGTTGTGTGTCTATAGATGCAGGGCTGTATGGAGGCCATGTTCCAGAAGCATTCTCTCCTGACTTTTCGCCTGCATCTATAGATCTATAGATGCAGGCGAAACGTCAGGAGATAATGCTTCTGGAACATGGTCATACAGCCCGGAAAACACACAACAACCCAGTTTTCAGAGTAGAGGAGGGGGAGGCAGTGTAGGATTAAGATTTCTGTTTTCCTCACCCTGTTTGAAAGATAGGAAAGGTTTTGTGTCCACTGCTGGATAAATCACTACAGAATCTGGCTGTAAGGAATGACTTGATGGTTCATTTTGTTTTGGATACCTTGGGTATTCTCTCATTGAAAAGCATATTATTGTGTTGTCGAAGGCTTTCATGGCTGGAATCACTGGGTTGCTGTAAGTTTTTCGGGCTGTATGGCCATGTTCCAGCCCAAAAAACTTGCAGCAACCCAAGCACATTATTAGCAAACTTACAGCAACCCAAGCACATTATTAGCAAAAGAAAGAAAGGAACAACAAAATAACCCTCCCCACTTTTGGAGGAAAAATAATAGTTCCGTTGCTCAGTTCATCCAAAGGATAAAGCCTATCCTTCTATGTATATTACTCCTCGGAATGGTTTCCTGATTGTATGAAAGAGAGAAGGTGATGTCGTATTTCTTTGATACTGTGAAGTTACATGCATTGCAAAGGTCAAGCGTATAGTGCAAAAGGAAGAAATAATAATAATAATAATAATAATAATAATAATAATAATAATCTATGAATACAGATGTGTATAAATTTCTATTAATATTATTAATAATAATATTATTAAAATGCCAACACGGATGGAAACAAAGTCTTCTTGTCATGATCCAAAATGTTAAGTTCTTGTCCTTATTTTCTAAACGAATAAATTGAAATGGTCATGGAGTGGAAAAGAAAACACAACAGAGGCGCTGTTTATGTTTTCTTGGAAGGAGATTTTTTTTTAAAAATGGAATGAATTTTCACCACCATCTTGGAGGGGGGAAAATCCCCAAACCTCGTTTTGTGGCTTGTTTATTTCTCAGGGTCCTACTTTTAGATCTCCAAGAACTTTTACAACAGGGGCATAGTTTGCCCGACGCCCCCCTGCAATTACTTGAGGAATCTATTTAAATATTACCTAGACGGTCGTAATGTGTCTGGGTCCTCTAGCAATGGTGCTCTAAGGTTTGTCGGCTTTTGTTCCGTTTTATGACTTGCTAGTATATCTGGATTGTTGCTGCCTTAGACGAGGGGGTTCAGCTCAGTGAGGAACTCCCTGGGCAGAGCAAGCCTGGAGCTATTTTTCCCCCAATGTAACAGAAAATCTGCTTGTGTATGTTGAGTTTGTAACAAAATATAACTTCTTCTAACCTGCTGCTTGAATTCAGAAGATCAGTATACAATATCCTGGTCTGAAGTGGTGAGCAATTTCCCCCCTCCAAGACAAAAGGAGACCACGATGGCTCAAAAGCAATCTGAAAAGGTGAGCAGACTTGAATCTGAAGCTCCCTCTCCGCCATGTTTATGTATTTCTCTTCTCTTCTATTTGGTGGCAAGCAGAAATGTGTTTATCAAGGGGAGGGGGGGGAATCCAGACAAAGGCAAGTGGGTTGGGGAGGAGATGTGGGGTAGGGAACAGTCTCGAGGGCCCAAATGGCCACTCCTGTTTTCTTTTCATCTTCTTTCTCCCCCTCAGACCAGAAATAGACTTTGAACCCCAGCTCCTTGATAGTCTTTCTGTTATTTTACCACTTTGCCCTTCAAAAGGCCTATTTGCCTCACTCTTTCTGTCCTTTTGCTTTCAACTCTTCCAAGACGTTTATTTTTTTCCTCTTCCCTTCTGATCTGTTTAGAAATTTCTCCTTTTTTATATAAAGGCGCGTTTAGAAACAAAGGAATGGAGAGAGATGGCGACTTGCAGTGGGCGAGGAGGAGGGAGAACAAGGAGAATTATGATCACGGTGTTGTGTTTTTTTATCTCTAATTTTCTCCTTTTGGGTTGGGTTTGTTCCCCCTCTCCCCTTTCCTCCTTCCCCCCTTTCTCCCCCCCCCTCTTAGTGGGACCCCTTTGGCTTAAGGAAAGCGACTATGGGGAGTCGTTTTAATGAGGAGTCTAAGAACTGGTCGGTGATTTAGGTAGTTTCATGTTGTTGGGGCTATGGCTCTCTCTTTCTCGACAGCACGAAACTGCCTTCATTACTTCAGTTTCTAATCATCGGGTCTAAATCAGGACCATAACCCCGCCTGGCAACACTGAAGAAATGGGGGCGGGTGGGGGGGTGGGATAAGGGAACCCCACAATTGCTCCTCTGGAGGGGGGTCAAGTTCCAAAGCCATTGTTTTGACTTCTGTAGGCACTGGGTTTCAAATTCCCTCCTTTTCTAGACTGGCTTTGTTAGAGTCACCACATTTCATATTTTCCAGCTTTGAATAAGAGACAAAAGTGGAGAGTTTTCAAGAAAAAAAATGGAAGAGACTTCTAGGTTTAGACAGTTTTTATACAGATTTCCTTCAAGGTCAGGAGCGCTTTTCAGTAGCAGGGGAATGATCTTTCCTTTCCTTGTTTAGTGGATGACTTTCATGGACGCAGGAATCACAGGGATGTTGTGAGTTTTCCGGGCTGTATGGAAACAAAGGATTCCCCCAGGCAGGAAGAAGCCAAACCTTGAAACTGATAAACCATTAAATGCTAATCAGGGTGGCGAACTGAAACATTCACACCTACCTCAAACAGACAAGAGCTCTTTCTCCTACTCTGGACATTCCACAGATATATAAACCCAATTTTCCTAGTTTCCAACAGGCCTCACAGCCTCTGAGGATGCCTGCCATAGATGCAGGTGAAACGTCAGGAGAGAATGCTTCTGGAGCATGGTCATACAGTCCAGAAAATTCACAACAACCCATCTCCTTTCCTTCTTGCAGGGTCTTTTTTCTTTCCTGCTGCTTGTCTGGATTGTCATAGCAATCTTTACCTTTGTCTTGCCCTGCCATTTTCCTTCCTTTCCTTCCTGCTTTCTAACCCTCAGCCGGGAGAGAAAGCAAAGGAATCTGGGAGCCATCTCCAGCTCGGATTGCGAGCCGCTGCTTCGTTCTCATTATATTTTATTGGGCTATATTGTGTCTGAGGAGAAGGAGGGAGGGAGGGGAGAGGAGGGTAAGCCAGCCAAACACACCCACCCGCCTCGGTCGCCTGGTTTCCAGCGGTGGCAAGGCAGCCCTTTTTCCTGCTTCTTCCCTCCTCTACCTCTCCAAGGCACACATATCCTCCAACGCAACTCCGAGGCCTCTGTAGGAAGGGATTAAGACGGGGCCCTTGCGAGAAAGGAGGGGGAAAGAAGGCGGGAAAACAAGGCCAGGATTTCCCCGCCGCTCGCCCACAAGGCCTCGGTTACGATCATTATTGTCCACGGCGGCAGCAAAGGCAGGAACCGCAGCTGCGAGGCGGAGAGGGAGAGAGAGAGAGAAGCGAAGGCGCTGCAGAGCCTTGTTTACGCCGGAGACGCGCGTTGTTTACCGTTCGTGCAAATGAACAAGACCTCTCCGGGGATCTAGGGCGGGGAGGATGTGGGGATATCCGCCGTGGGGTCTGCTTTCGGCCTTTTCTGGGAAGAGGGGAAAGGAGGGAGCAGCAGATTCGCACGCCTTTTCGCCAGTCTGTTTGGAAACTTGGAGGCTTTGTTAGGATTGAAAATGCAACGAGTGGGTTGTGTGTATGTGCAGTTGTATACTGGGAACCAAGCCCGGGACACCCAGAAATGTCGAGCTTTTCGGTTGGAATGCGTATGCCTGTGGCTGGAACTACACTTTCCAGACAAAGCAGTTTGAGTGGCGTTATATGGCCAATGTAGACCCTCATCAGGCAGTCTGAAGTGCATTGAACTAATGTATTGTCGAAGGTTTTCATGGCCGGAATCACTGGATTGTTGTGTGTTTTCTGGGCTGTATGGCCCACAATCTCACAACCTCTGAGGGTGCCTGCCATAGATGCAGGTGAAACGTCAGGAGAGAATGCTTCTGCAACATTGCCATACAGCCCGGAAAACACAAAAATATGCATTGAACTACGTTATGTGCGTCTACACTGCCCATAAGTATGCACTTCTAATATAACCCCAGCCAGTGTTTGTAAACTCAGGCGTCAAAAGCTCGATTTTAAATGTAAAGGACTTTCTTAAATACATAAATATATAGGCTCGCCAATAAAACTCAAGTTTAGGTATACAGGCTCCTAGTACTGGGTGTTTACTCCATTGTGGAGCTGAAACAAATATGTATTTCTTTGTTTGGAAAAATACCATTGAAGTCCTTCATAATTTGCATAGCATGTCCTCTGGCTCAGGGTTTCTCCAGATTTCAGTGGCTATATGTGTGTGTGTGTGAATTATAATATTATAATATATATTTCAGTGGCTCTATATATATATACACGCGCGCACACACACATTTCAGTGGCTATATATATATATATATATATATATATATATATATATATATATATCATAACAAGAACGCCTGTATCTATGTGTGTTAAGGAAACATTTCATAGGCATTGGCTTACCGAATTCAGAGAAGAATATAGCTCGAAAATTATTACTGTAATTTAAACGTGAATGAAAATTTTCCAGTGATAGCTCTAGCAGAAAATTCAAAGAAAATAGTTAAGGCTAAGAAATGTAAAACTCTCGGGTGTGACAGTATAAAACCCGTAAGGCTGCTAATTTTGCATACTTAGCAAGAAGGCCCACTAAAGTTGGTGGGTCTGATATATAAATATATATATATACACACACACACACACTCTTTCTCTCTATCTCTCAACACACACACACACACACACACACACACACACACACACACACACACATATATATATATATATATAATACACACACTCAATAGTGTACATATATATACATATATACATATATACACACATAGTATTGAGTGTGTGTATATGTATATGTGTATATGTATGTTTATATGTGTATATGTATATGTATTGTCCTTCATGCACACTTACTCAATAGTATATTTTTACACACACACACACACACATGAGAGCTGTGAAGGACTATTAGAGTCTGTTGAAATTGATATAATATTATACAAACCGGAAGGAAATAAGGCTGTTTAAAAGTCACCAACAACCGGAAATACGCTTACTTATTACTTGGGAGTCCCTAATATTTGTATTTATGGGCAGGGGCAATGTCTGGTAGCCGCTGCCTTAAGATAAGACCAGAAATGTATTCACTTGAGGTAAAAATATATTTATTTAAGTGAAAATGAAGCTTAGCTGTAGACCCGCGTTTCTTCTGTTTCCATGCTGTGTCTGTCCTTACATGAAAATTAATCAAGTTGGAAATATACAAGTCCCCTTGGAAATAACATTTCTGCATAGGAGAAAGAAACACGCAGATTATTTATTATCTCTATAATTCCAACCCAACTTTTCTCCCCTCTAGATACTTGAATTGTCTTTGTTCAGGAATACAGAGAGATTATTGTGTTATTCTGATGTAGTCAATCGAGCCTGATTCTCCCTAATCAGAAATGAAAATCTGCTGCCATTTCCGAAACACGAAATGCAATAAAGAAAACATGGGAGGAATCCTGCTGTTAAGATTATTTTCTCTCCTTCAAGGAGGAAGGAAGTTCTGTGAACATATTTCACAACAGCTGACTCTCGATTTTAAACAAAAAATGACGCAAGGCTTCCCCTCTTTCCAGGAAAGACACAAACCCATAACACGATACATGTGCTTGTTGTATTTTTGTTGCCGCTATCTCTATGCAGACACAAATAGTTCCAATTATCTCACGAAAGTAACTATAGTAGCTACTCAAGCCTTCTGGGAAACGTTATTTTGCGTGTGTAGGTAGGGGAGATTATTATCAGCAACTCCTGAGCCCTTTTATTTCTGATCAGATAATTATTTTGTGTAATCTTCAATATTCTGGTATTTTTAAGAATGGAGAAGTGTCTATTCCGTTTCTCTCATTCGAGATTGGCCTCTTGGAGCACAAGGAGGAAAGACATTAATGTAGACTAATGAAAAACATGCGCTTTGCACCAGGAATATTCACACACGAATCTAATTAACACACGATTCTCTTACTATTAGACAGCCTCTAGACTGAATAACGCCGCTGTTTGAGACTAAAAACAAAAGAACCCTTTTCTTCCACACCCCACTCTTGAGCTCCGTTTGTGATTCCCAAAAGCAACAGCTAAAGAAGAAAAGAGAAAATAATAATAATAGAAAGGACAAAAATAAAACCACAGGAATCCACCGAGAAGACAAAGCCTTCAAATGTCACAGCCACTGAGTATTTCCCCCATTACTTTAATTCACAACACTGGCCTTGATCGGAGGGCCATATCCTTTTATTGTTGTTGTTGTTGTGATTCTGGGGGTGGAGAGACTATAACCCTCCGCCTCGTCCCCATATTGCTCCCAGAAGCCCCATAGAAAGTGCCAGGGAAACAATAAGTATTCAGACCTTCTAAGATCTGTTTGCTTGGAGAAAGCAATGCCAGAGAAAGGGGGGGAATGCCAAGGGGGGGGAGGGAAGGGGCTCTCCAATCCAGACATGGTTCAGGAAGGTTGTCCAGGAGAGGACGGGATGGGGAAGCATTACTAACCCCCTCCCCGACCCAATCCATACATATATAGTCTTCCCCAGCGGTAGCATGGCTCTGGTTCCTCCTCTCCAGACAGAAGAGGAAAGAGGCAGGAGGGCTCACATACCAAGAAGCCCCTCTGCAGTCAACTTGATCGAGGCGGGTGGGTGGGTCTCTTTGGTTTGCCCTCCAAACGTCCATGTTGCTCTGCTTTCCCCCTTTCCAGTCTTTTTTTTCTTTGTCCACGTGCACGAAGAAGCCTACTTCCCCCAAATATATATATTATAGCATTTGGAAATACTACACACATATATATGTGTATATCTGGCTTCCAAAGCTGAGTGTTTGTGTCAGAATGTCAATGGATCAGCGTGCAACCCGCTGCTGGAGTTTCTCTGAAGGAGGGGGGCAAAAAACACGGCGTTGGAGTGGATCTGGAAATGTGGGTTCGTGGGAAGGGCTCCCCGTTGTGTCTCCGGCGACCCTTGGCTCTCAAGGTGCCCCATAAAGAGCCCCAAACCCCCCTCTTGTGCCCCCCGCCCCCCGCTTTCCCCTCTCCTCGTCTGTTCGGGCGCGTGAGAGGAAAAGAGGCAGATCCGAGGGAGACAGGCTTCTTCTCTTGGATTTGACTTTTCGCCTTGCCAGCCTCCCGTTCGCTCTGAACTCAGCCGCACAGTATTATTTACAGTACAGCTTCCCAAAGTACAACACAATAGTATAATTTAACCTTTCCAGTGCACTCGTAAATTTTTACTGCCGCGAAACACAGCGATGCAAATGAATATGCTCGTCGTTACTGACTTAATAACAACCCGGTGGCTCCCGAGACAATAACTCCTTATGTATGAAATAGAATAAATATAGATTTAAATACAGTGCGCCCGCCCAATGTTATTTTCCTTTTCTTTATTTTTATGGCTTCCATTATTGTATAATTTTATGTGAAGGTCTCCCATCACTTAAAAAAATAATAATAAAATAAAGGAAGCCTGTCTTAGTTGGGTTTTTTTTTCTCCTCTCCTTTCTTGGATTCTCCAAACGCCAAGCTTTGATGGGATGATTAATTATGATATAAAATAGTCCCCTCTTTTAAAGGAGGGCAAGACCCACCCTCCCCTTTCCCCCTCCCCCTCCTGAAAAAAAATCCCTAATCTTTTAATCTTATTTGCATGCCACAAAAACCCAAAGTTTGCTCGTCCAACTCGCCCCCTTTACATTAAAAAAAAATCCTAAGGCTGGGCTATAAAAAATGATGACTCGAAAACACTGACCCATTAATAGCCTGCGGACTGATTTATACTTTATTGTTCTGCCGCCCGGCCACGTGAGGCGCGGCAGCCAATCAGAGGCCCCGGCCGCCTTCAACTTATTAGGTGACTGTACTTCTTCGCCAGGACCAAGTTGTGACATGAAATCTGCCGTTTCATAATTTCGCCGGGTCTTGCCTCTCTCTCCTCCTTCCTTCCTTTTTCTCTCTCTCTCTCCCCCTTCTCTTCTTTTTCCTCCCTTCCCTTCCCTCCTCCGCCCGGGCCATGACTTCCTCGGGGACGCTGAGCAACTACTACGTGGACTCCTTCCTGCTCCACGAAGGCGGCGAGGAGCTGGGCCCCTCCGCGGCGCGCTACGGCTCGCTGCCCCTGGGCCAAGTGGGCTCCCGAGGGGCGGCCCCCGAGCACGCCGACTTCTCGGCCTGCAGCTTCCAGGCCAAGGCCTCCTCGGTCTTCTCGGCCTCCTGGAGCGCCGCCCCGCCGCCTCCGCACCCGCCTCCGCCTCCTCCGCCGCCCCCGGGCTCCGGCCACGTCTACCACCCCTACGTGCACCACCCGCCCCCGCTGCCCGCCGCCCCCGACGGCAGCAGGTACCTGCGCTCCTGGCTGGAGCCTCTGCCCGGCGGCTCCTTGGCCTTCCCCGCCTTGCCGCCGCCCGGCCGGCCCTACGGCATCAAGCCCGAGCCGCTCCCGGCCCGGCGGGGGGACTGCCGCACTGCCTTCGAGCCGCACAGCAACGCCCTCCCCCTGACTGACTATGCCTGTGGTTCCCCCTCAGCTGAACGGGAGAAGACCCCCGGAGATGGGCCGCCCTTCGCCGAGAGCCACGCCGAGAGCGAGGCCGGAGCAGGAGGAGCAGGAGGGGACAAGAACCAGATCGACCCCAGTAAGTGTGACCCACTGGGAAGGGAGAGGGCACGGAGGCAGGGAAGATCCCTCTTGGGCTGGATGGCTGGCAGGCAGGGAGAGAAAGAAGGGTGTTCAAGGTAGTTTGAAGTGCGTTTTCATACCATTTGCACTTGTTTTTGTATTTTTATATATTCATATCAATGCATGTGCTCTGTTTTTAGTTGTGTCACGTTTGGCTGGTGCTACACTGCCCGACAATCAGTGTAGAGCCATGCAGTTGAAGCTGCATTGTATACTTTCTACACTGACTATATAATGCAGTTCAAGCTGCATTGTATACTTTCTACACTGACTATATAATGCAGTTCAAGCTGCATTTTATGCTTTCTACACTGACTATATAATGCAGTCCAAACTGCATTGTATAGTCTCTACACTGAGCATTTAATGCAATTCAAGTTGCATTGTATAGTTCTACATTGAGCTTATAATGCAGTTCAAGCTGTATTGTTTACTTTCTGTACTGACCATGTAATGTAATTCAAACTGCTTAGTATAGTTCCTACACTAAGAATATAATGCAGTTCAAGTTGCAATGTATAGTTTTTGCACTGACCATATAATTCATTTCAAGCTGCATCGTATAGTTCTACACTGACTATATAATGCAGTTCAAGCTGCATTGCATAGTTTCTAGACTGACCATATAATGCAGTTCAAGTTGCATTGTATAGTTTAACATTGAGCTTATAATGCAGTTCAAACTGCATAGTATAGTTTCTACACGACTCAAGTTGCATTGTACAGATTCTGCACTGACCATATAATTCAAGTCAAGCTGTATAGTATAGTTCTACACTGACCATATAATGCAGTTTAACCTGCTTTGTATATTTTCTGCACTGAGCATATAATGCACTTCAAACTGCATTATATAGGTCTAGACTGAACATCTAATGCACTTCAAACTGCATTATAGAGTACTGTAGAATCAATAAGTCCCTTATTGGGTCTCTATGCCAGGAGAAAGGCGCTATAAACATAAATAAGTACAGAATGTTTGGGCTGGCAGGGGGCTGGTGCAGGGAAAGGGGCTGCCACACACACACTCCCCTTTAGACTGGCTTAAGTAAGTGGGATCCATCTTGAGCTATGCGGCATTGGCTGGCTTCCCTCCTGCCCTAATAATAATAATAATAATAATAATAATAATAATAATAATAATAATAATAACATTTGTTTTTGCCTCCTCTCGTGGTTCGAGGAGTGATTCAACATAGTTAAATACACACACAGAAAAGGCATAAGACCACTGAAAGAAAAAGCATTTCGCCACACACACACACACACACACACACACACACCCCAATCAGGGTATTTCAGAAGGAGGCGGTAGGCATGCTGTCCACAAAATGCAGCAGCTGTGGTGAAGGGCGAACAGGACATTTCTCTGTATGCTCTCCCTCCTCATGTTTAGAGGCCTGAACCTCCCAAGACTGGGTCAGGCACAATGGAGCGTGATGGGATGTGTAGTTCTCCTCTCCAGCTCGCCCTCGGTGGTGACAGTGGGCAGTACAGTGTACATTCATGGCGACAGCCTTCAGTACTCCAGTGAAATGGGAAAAGAGTTAGTGGGAGGTAGGGTTAGTTGGTGGAGGGAGAGAGAGAGAGAGAAGGAAGAGGAGGGGAGGGAGGAGATGATGGCGGTCCTGAAGAGCCCAGAAACAGAGAGCAGGAGGAACAAAACATTGGAGGTGAATCTGATTCCTTTGTGACGAAGTTAGGAAAGCCAAGAGACATAATTGCGGGTGGGGGGGGGGCGGGAGAGTAGGAGGGACATCCGTCCTTTCATTTACTCCCTTCTTGGTTGGTTGGGATTTTCCCCCTCAATGTTACATATATAAATAATCTCTCCTCACCAGCATTGATGGATGAATAGCTGGATTTAACAGTGAGGCAGGCAACCAAAGTCAGGCTCAGCAGGTTCCTCAGCCAGGCCAGGCTGAGTGTGAATGGGTGGGCTGGAGTGTGTGCCCCCTTTGTCGCCTGTCTTGTTGAGAAAGCTGGTGACATCACAGACTGGAAAAAAGGGGAGACACGAACACTCGAGGGTTTCCCACCTACCTTTTAAAAAAACTAGGAGTGTAAAGTGAGGAGTAGGGAAGGAGGCAAGCCCACAGGGTCCTTCTGGGTTGAGAGAAGATGCTAGCTCCAAAATTACACGAAGGAGAGGGAGAGGGAGGCAGCGAGAGGTGGACATGTTGCATGTAAATAGTATGCAAGAGAAAAGAGAAAGAGAAAGGGAAGTGGGGAGGTAGTAGTCAACCCCCATGGGGTTTTTTTTTACGGCAAGTCATTCTGCGTGACCTCTTCAAACGTCCTTGTCCCGGCCCATTGTTGGCTGCCCATCCTGTCTGTCTGTCCCAATGAAAGGCATGTCGTAAAACACCCACATCAGGACACCTCTGGGTGTATCAGTAGAAGGGGAAGCATCTTGTCCCAGGAGGGTTGGGGATGCCAGAGTAACACTGTCTTGTTGTTGTTGTCGTTGTTGTTGTCTCCCCCCACTGCTCCAACCTCTGGCTTCCTTGCCTTGCAGACAACCCGGCGGCCAACTGGCTCCACGCGCGCTCCACGAGGAAAAAGCGCTGCCCTTACACCAAGCACCAAACGCTGGAGTTGGAGAAGGAGTTTTTGTTCAACATGTATCTGACCAGGGACCGACGGTATGAGGTGGCCCGGCTGCTGAATTTAACCGAGAGACAGGTCAAAATCTGGTTCCAGAATCGGAGGATGAAAATGAAGAAAATCAACAAGGACCGAGTGAAAGAGGACTGAGTGGGTCTCGCGTGGCAGGTTCCTCGTGGCTCAGAAACAGCGGAGAAAAACACCCCTTTTCTCCCATTTTTTCACCTCCCAAGGCGACACAACCGAATCCCTTCATCTTCCAATGAGACTATCTAGGCCTCGCGTGACTCGCCTTTATTGTTTATGTTTTATTTAATTTTTCATTTTTTTGAAAAAAAAACCCCGACTACAACAAAATCCTTTGATGGTTTGTTCTCGTCTTTGGCCCAATCGGCTCTTGAATGTACCTCGCCAGCGTGCAGGGAGATAAATGGCTGGGACCTGGTGCTATTGAAGAGGTACCACGACTTTCAATCTATTACCTACAGACAGGGAAAGAAAGAGATCTGCTCCCTAATCATAGGCAAGGCAAACAGGGGAGGCTCGTGTTGTTGGCTTGTCTAAATCTACCTGTCCTTCTTGAAAGAAAGAGAATGAAAGAAAACTACCTTTTTAAAATGCACAATTCTTTATGGACTGTATAGGTTAGTCGAAATAGTTAATTTTATTTGCTTTTTGCGCAGCAGAGAGAGCTCTGCTTTTAATACTTGAACACTGTGTTTTTATTGTGGTAATTAATTATGTTTGTGACTCGGTTTTTTTGTGCTTGGGTGCTGTATCCGATTGTGGTCCTGTAAGCTAGAATTCAATTTGAACTCAGGTTGTTTAATGATAAAGGATGCATAAAGGATAGCTCTGTAGTGTACAAACCTTCTCCTTCCCTGTATTGTCGAAGGCTTTCATGGCCGGAATCACTGGGTTGTGGTGAGTTTTTCGGGCTGTATGGACATGCTCCAGAAGCACTCTCTCCTGACATTTCGCCTGCATCTATGGCAGGCATCTTCAGAGGTTGATGAACTCACAACCTCTGAAAATTCCTATCATAGATGCAGGCGAAACGTCAGGAGAGAATGCTTCTGGAACATGGCCATACAGCCCAGGAAACTCACAACAACCCAGCTTCTCCTTCCCTGCATCGTTAGCCAGTTAATTTTGAATTGCAATGGGTAGGCTGCAGGGCTGCAATTTGCTGTCCCCTATCTCAACGAGAGGAAAATATATGTGTATATATATATATATCCATATACATATGTATATATGAATATATATGGAATTAGGAAAGGGCTCATGGATGCTTTGACCCATTTGCTTTCGAACCAATCACTTGATCTATATATATAGTACAGTCTTCGTCAGTTGTGTATATATCTATATATACATAAATATAATCTATATATTAAAGAAAGAAACCCTTAATTATCGGACTAGCTTGAATCTTGTTTTGCACCCGTGAGCAGTTTTCAGAGACCGGAGCTATGCCTGTTATGTGGGAGGGAAAGAAAGAAAAGAAAGAAAGAAAGGCAACTACCTATGGTTTACGTTTTAAGTTTAATCAAGTCATTTGATTCTTATTGTAATGAAAGTTTTAATTTTATTGATAATAAATTATACGCTCTAAAAAAACTACCTTTGGTTATTGTAGATTTGTATCAATGATTAAAATAAAAATAAAGAATAGCCCAAAATATATATATCCTGGAAGTTTATGTTGATGCTGAAGCTACACTGTATCATTGCAATAGTTACCTCATGGCCTACTGACCAAATAGTTGTGTCCGAATGATATTTAACTTTTTTTTTGCTTAATAAAAATATATTGATTCTTTTGTATACATATTTGTGCTGTTGAAGATTATTATAAGGGGACACTGCGCCACCAAACCCACCCTGAGATATGGCGTCCCTCTTGGAGAACAATCAGAAACCTCACCTTGATTTCAAAGCAAAGGAATAATAGAATCATAGAGTTGAAACCTCACCACACTAGAGAATGAATCCACCTTAAATCCGGTTTCTGCCTCCTGCAGAATTCTGGGGTTTGTAGTTTAGGGAGGAGCCTTTAACAGCCTCACTTAACTACAAACCCCAGAATTCTGCAGGAGGCAAAAACCGGATTTAAAGTGGATTCATTCTCTAGTGTGATGAAGCAGTGAAGACACCTCGTGGGCCATCTGAGTTTAATGAAGGTTCCTTCAAAGCCATTATGCTTTGGAGACTCATTGTCCAGATGTGTATTTGATGTTTTGAGCAAGGAGATTGTGAGGCTGGCTTGCTATGAAGGATATTTCCAACCCATGAAGGATATTCCCAACCCATGAAGCCCATTCACTCACAGTACAGAATCAGATGATGAAAGAAAACTGTAGTAGATACTTAGGATAAAACACTGAAAATGATTGATTCCATTCCGGAAGTAAAAGAAGCCTATCAAAAACAAACACCGGGGCAAAAATATTGATGACCTTTCTCGAGGAAAGCAATGTCATCCAGTTAGCTTCCCTAGTCCAGATCTGATTTATTTTTTTTTGCCTTCCAGAGACGTATAAACCTTAGAGATATGAGATGCCAGCCTTTAGCTTTATATAGAAAGCATCCTCATTGTGAAAGAAAGCTCAGTTGTTTCTAGACTAACTAATAAACAAGCTGCCATGGTTATTGGGGTTGTATGTGTGTGTTGTCGAGGAAGGCAAAGTCCAGACACATATCTGACAATAACAGTCGCCATATTTGTTTTAGTGTTTCGATTTTTATAATATAATCATTTTGTTTTGTTTCTGTGGTTGCTTTCAGTCCTGTTTCTGAAACGGGGTTGTTTGCATAAGGACTGGGAATAAGTCGCCCATTTATCCAGCAAATACAAGGAAATGTTTTTGGAGTGAAAGGGTTGGTGAAGAACAAAAGGAATGGAAGGAAGTCGGTGGGTCTCGCCGGCTCAGCCATAGAAGAGTCTGGAGTCGGGGAAAAACATCTTTGAGTCGGGTTTGGGTGTCTTTTGGGGTGGGCTGAGGGAGGATAAAGGGGTTAGCTGGCTATTTCTGCACAACAGTGTGTTTCTTCTGCAGCTTCCTCAGAATGAAAGCCTTGGTTTATTTTAAAAGCGTGGAGAGAGAGAGAGAGAAAAAATCACACCACAAGCCAACCCACTTCCAGCTAACAAGCCTTGGCTGAAGATGCTATTAGGAAAAATTCAGAGCCATAGAGTGCCATAAAAGAAAATGACGGTTGTAACCGTTTATGGGGTGTAAAATACTGCAGGGTTTAAAGACAAGGACTCTGGTTGGAATATCCAGGAACGAGTGTGGTGGGTTTTCTTAAAGGGGAGGGGTTGTTGTTTCTCCCCTTCTTTTTCTTAAAGGAATCTGGTCAGAGGTGTTCAATTAGTTCAAAAAGGAACCGTTTTCGTCTAGCTAATTTTTTTCAGAGGAAGAAAGAGGAAGGGGCTGGTTGTTAAGGGGGAGTAGGGACCCCTAATTTATGCCTGGCCCCACTGTTTGGGGTGTTGGGACGCCCTCTGTTGTTGCAGACGGTGGGGACTTCAAAGAACCGACCTCAGAAGCGTGTAATAAATGCCGGGTCTGCAAACTGTCTGGAATTCGGCCCTTAATGAGTTTACAACTGTCCAGCCACAATTAAGATTTTTCGACAAAAGCCCCCTTTCATTTGTTTTGTCTGGCTGCTTCAGATAAAGCAGGTCTGCGGAAATAGCTCTCTTTTATTATCCCCGCTCTCTTTCCTCTGAAATGTAGGACGTTTATCTTTAATAAAATTGCCTCTGGAACCTTTAGCAAAAAAATAATAATGGCTACTGCAAGGCAAGGCAGATTATGCCAAGCATTTGCAGCGTGGTTGGTATTAGAAGTATGGGCTCCTTGGCTCGGTTTCATGGCTTGTAATGACCACAATACGACAGCAGATGGCACTGTTGGTCCATGGAAACAAGGCGGATTCCGCCATGAAACCAAAGGGAAGGATTCTAAAATGTCGACTTTCAAAGGCCAGTACATGCGGTTTAGAAACCAGTGTCTCGATTTTAACAAAGGAAAGGAATGGTTATGTGTTGTCGAAGGCTTTCATGGCCTGAATGACTAGGTTGCTGTTAATTTTCCGGGCTGTATGACATGTTACATGGCAATACAGCCTGGAAAACTCAGAGCAACTCAAAGGAATGTCTGTAAATATGTGCTCTGGTACCTAAATGTCGCCGTTCATACTTAATTATATAGGGTTCAATTTATCTGTGGTTGTCCCAAGTTTTCCCTTGAAACTAATGGAGCTTAAGTTGTAACCCATTGTGTTCAATTTTGCATATTGAGCATGCTGACTTCTGAAATCTCAGTGGTTACAGGAATACATTTCTCGATTATTTGCCTTTATTTAGGTGAAAACTAATGAACCCTACCCTCAGCCAGGAAATTCAAGCTTGTGTGCATAGGAGCATATGTGATGATACATATATGCATAGGAACGTATGTGGTGATACCTTGACAGAAACGCAATCTGTATATTATGTAAACAATGTATAAAATATATTAATTTTGGCATAGTAATGGCTCAAGCTGTATGTGTGCTGATGTAAACATACCTTGCTGTTGTGTGCCTTTAACGTGTTTCCAATTCATGGTGACCCTAAGGCAGGCCTGGGCAAACTTGGGCCCTCCAGGTGTTTTGGCCTTCAACTCCCACAATTCCTAACAGCCTTGGCCCCTTTCCTTTTTCCCCTCAGCAGCTTAAGGCCCAAGGCTGTTAGGAATTGTGGGAGCTGAAGGCCAAAACACCTGGAGGGACCAAGTTTGTCCATGTCTGCCTTAAGGCAATATTATCACAAGAGTTTCTTGAGAGAGGGTTGCTTGCTTTTGCCTTCCACTGAGGCTGAGAAAGTGTGACTTGCCCAAGGTCACCATAGCTGAGTGTGGATCATAACTCCTAGAGTCCTTTTCCAACATGCTGGCTGCCTATGACATATCCACTAAACTTATATTTTAACAATTTAAGCCAAAATGAAACATTAATATCAGATTAAGTAACCTGTGGTTCATTTGCTAATTGGTATGGCTAATCTATATCCCCATGTGAGTATATAAAAACAGACACTTATATTTACAAAGGATATGATGGCTGAGCCTGCAGTGTGAGTCACAGATGTCTGGCATTGAACACATTGGAATTCCAAGCATAGCGCACAACATTGTATTAGGAACGTGCAAACCTAATATGTTTACTTACTTCCCAAGAACTGTGTGCAGAGAATAAAACAAGCACTCTAAACCTTACTGAAGACATATGAGCGATTTTACTGCTGAGGCCCCTGATATTATTACTGAAGACTGATAATTTTACATGCAAGTGTTCTCCATTGTAATAAAACCCAGTAAAGCTGATTCCTTGATTAGAAACAGATATCTCCCTTCAAAGCCAGTGTGGTGCAGTGGTTTGAGTGTTAGAGGTCGGCCATGGAAACCCATTGGGTGGCTTTAGGCAAGTCACACTCTCTCGGCTTCAGAGGAAAACAAGGGCAAACCCCCTCTGAACAAAACCACAAATTCCTTTCGACACTGTAGAATCGATACAATTTGACACCCCTCTAACTGTCCTGGCTGGATTATATGGGATTTGTGGTTTGACAAGTTCTTTCCGCCTTTTTTGCAAAAGAATGCTGGTGTTTCACTCAACTACAAATCCCAGCATTGAGTTATGGGCGTTGGTGATGTCAACACATTTAATCTATAAGGTAGATGCAACCCCAACAATAATAATATCATTAATAATAAATTATTTAATTATTAAATAGTAATTATTAATTAAATAATTATTGTATTGTCGAAGCTTTCATGGCTGGAATCACTGGGTTGTTGTAGGTTTTTCGGGCTATATGGCCATGTTCTAGAAGCATTCTCTCCTGACGTTTCACCTGCATCTATGGCAAGCATCCTCAGAGGTTGTGAGGTCTGTCAGGTCTGTCCTCAGAGGTTGTGAGGTCTGTTTGTTAAAGAAAGATAGCTGCAGGCAAAACGTCAGGAGAGAATGCATTCATATAGCCCGAAATACCTACAACAACCCACTAAATAATAATAATAATAATAATAATAATAATAATAATAATAATAATATATTAAATAATAATAATAATATATTATTATTATTATTTAATGTATTACCCGCCTCTCCTTTGGGCTCAGTTACAGCATTAATAAAATATAATAATATAAGTCAGAAAGGACTTGAAGACATATAATAACAACACCTTCCGCCTTTACAATGCAGCAGGCCAGCTTTGTCCTTTTAAAGGGAACATTGCCTAGTCCAGCTTAAATATTATATTATCCTTTTTTGATGACTGACCGTCCACATGCGATTTCCTCTTGCTCTTGAGTTAGACCATTCTCAAGTGACTCTATTTCCACTCAGCCCAAAGGGAGGCTTCCCGACGAAGCGGCAAAGGCTGCGATTTTTTAATCTGAGCTTTATTTACCGGCGGCCGAGATTCTCCAGCAGATGTTGGCGCGGCAATAAAAGGCTCCGCTCGCTTCCTGAGCCGTTTTGGCTCTGTGGGACTCGGTTTAATTATATTGTGCAGATGCTTCGGAGTCTGATGCACCGCGGGACTGAAATGCCTCTGCAAATACCATTCTGGAACTCTTCCCTGATCTTTATTTACGGTTTCTCTGATCAAAAATTAATATCTCTTTGGCTGGCTCCATCCATCCTCACGTGACCCAAGATACACAAACATTCATCCCGAAGGCAGATGAATGGAATGAGATGGTTTATTTATTTATTTAATATTTTTATTTTTTTCAGTAATTGGCCTTCTAAACGACTGCAGGAGTGAG